GGTAAATGGCCTGCTCTGTTTTGTGATTGGAGTTGGTTTTGCTCAATTGGCTGAATGGTTGGTTTGTGACGCAGTCTGATGCAAACAGTATGGATTCAATTCCCACACCAGCTGAGGTTACCACGAAGAACTGTCCTCTCCCTTCATGTGAGGTATGGTGGCCCTCAGGTTAAATTACCAACAGTTGTCTCTCTGTAATGAGAGACCAGCCCTATGGTCTGGTAAGACTACAGCGACTCCAATTCTATGGGATATGTTATTCCCCTCAGGTCCTGGTTTGCATGTTTCAACCCATTAACCTGTGCATATATAAACTGGTCTGATTTGTCTGAACGGCTGAGCATATTGTGCAGGTTAACATTAATATTTAATGCTAATATTTACAAGGCAATGTAATTATCCAAACCTAGGTTTTCAGTATTAAGGACTTCTTCTCTATCCATCTTCTATCTGCCTCCCCCTCTCTCCCTATTTATTTCAGAACCCCCTTCCCCTCCCCCATTTCTGAAGAAGGGTCTAAGCCTGAAACGTCAGCCTTCCTGCTCCTCTGATGCTGCTTGGCCTGCTGTGTTCATCCAGCTCTACACCTTGTTATCTCAGATTCTCCAGCATCTGCAGTTCCTACTATCTCTGAAATAGTTGGACAATACCTTTTTTATAAAAAAACCTTTTTCAGACGGTTTTATATTAAAATCGCTTTGCATTGTATTATTCAGGTGCTGTGTGAACACGATCATGATTGTGGTGTGGGATTCTTCTGCGACAAACATTTTAGGATGTGTGCCCCTTTAAGAGATGAAGGCCATTTCTGTCGCCGGGATAGTCAGTGCTCCCAGGGTCTGAGCTGCATGTTTGGCCAGTGTCACTTCACTGTTCCCAAAGGACACGAAGGTAAGAGAAATTGAGGTAATCTGAATCAGCCCTCCTAAATACATGTGGAAAAGATAAAGGACTCAAAATCTGCAACTGGCTTGATTGAATTGAAATTAAAAGCAGCTAGATGTCACTAACTCAAATGTGCTCTCTCTGGAAAAACTGGACTTTCAGTCATGCTTTTGTTAGGAAGATGGACCTGAAGATCCATTGAAATGCAATGAGCTAATCACTGCAAAGCATGTGCAATTACCCCCCTCACAATTCACTGCCTTATACCGTTTTGGGAACGTATTGACAAAGGATCTATAGTTGGTAATCATTGCTTGCTCAATTCATGACTTTTTCATTTACCCATACCTCGCAGGCACCCCACCCCACGCCCCCCCACCCCACCCCGCAACAGAGAAAAAAAACTTGAAAATGGTGTTATTCCATGTATGCGTCAGAATTGAGCATTAAAATTATTCAGAGGACAATCCCACATCTTTGCACTATTGCCTCGACAACCTCTCTCAAACAGCAACAGACCTGGAAACATATTCAGTCTAAATTTCAGAAAACAAGATGCAGATACATCTTTGCTACCTTTACAACTTGGCCATTTCTCCCTCCTTGTTCTTCCTACAACACTTGAGTCTGGATTAGTGGGAATTCAACTCGGAGGGAAGTTTAGCACAGGACAGAGGCAGTTCTGTCATGTTTTGAACTTGTTTGTTGCCCAAAGCAATAGATTTAGACTTCAGTGTCTTATTTGAGTGTCTTATTTAATTTCCTTCAAACATCCTTAGAGATCTAGCTCATGCTGACTCTATCTTAACTAGTTGGGCAGCACAGTGACTCAGGGTCCTGGGTTTGAATCCAGCCTTGGGTGACTATCTGTGTCGAGTTTGCACATTCCCCCCGTGTCTGTGTGGGTGTCCTCCAGTTGCTCCGGTTTCCTCCACACAATGCCAAGATGTGCGGATTGGGTGCTTTACCCATGCCAAATTGCCCATAGTGTCTAGGGTTGCGCTGGTGAGGTGGGTTAGCCCTGGGAAATACAGGGGTAGGGTGGGTCTTGGTGGGATGCTGTCTGAAGGGTCAGTGTGGACTTGATGGGCTGAATGGCCTGCTGCCACACTGTAGGGATTCTACGATTGGGGTTGCTGTTGCAGGACTAGGAGTTTTATCGTGCGGGGGACCCAAGTACGGATCATAGTCGATTATAAATACTCTCCTGGATTTGAGGTACTCTCTCTGGGCACTGACAATTCTACCTTAAGTATTACATCCAAGAGAGCTCACATCTGAGAAGCATGAACTTGCACTTTACTCATTCACAGCATGTGAACATCGCTGGCAAGGCTGGCATTCATTATCCACCCCAACTGTCATTGAGAAGCTGGTCAGTGTCCTTTTTGTTAACTGGGTGGTTTGCCAGGCCATTTTCAGGGGCAGTTTGGAGCTGACCATAAGCCAGAGGTAAGGATGGCAAATTTTCTTCCCTATAGGATATTAGTGAACAAGATGGGCTTTTAATGGTAATTGATTTCGTGGCCAACATTACTGACAGTAGTTTTTGTTCCAAGTGTATTTACTTAGGTGAATTTAATTAAATATAGAATAAAAAGCAAACAAAGACATTGGCTGTGTAACCAACAGAATAAGGAGTGGTTGTCAACTGAGTACGTTTCTGAATTATATCTATCTAACTCTTCCCTTCCCTTGCAAATAATTCTCTTCCAAGACGACAGGGTACTGGGACAAAAGGTTTCAGCTGGACCGATATCCATTTCAAGCCCACCGACTCCCACAGCTACCTAGAATACACCTCCTCCCACCCACCTTCCTGCAAAAATGCCATCCCCTATTCCAATTCCTTCATCTCCGCCGCATCTGCTCCCAGGATGAGGCATTCCACTCCCGAACATCTCAGATGTCCTCGTTTTTCAAGGACCGCAACATCCCCCCCTCAGTGGTCGAGAACGCCCTCGACCGTGTCTCCCGCATTTCCCGCAACTCATCCCTTACACCCCCTCCCCGCAATAACAACCAAAACAGAAGTCCCCTTGTCCTCACATACCACCCCACCAACCTCCGGATCTAACGCATCATCCTCCGACACTTCTGCCATCTGCAATCCGACCCCAACACCAAAGACATTTTTCCCTCCCCACCCTTATCTGCCTTCCAGAGGGACCACTCTCTCTCCGTGACTCCCTTGTCCACTCCACACTCCCCTCCAGCCCCACCACACCCGGCACTTTTCCCTGCAACCGCAGGAAGTGCTACACCTGCCCCCATACCTCCCCCCTCACCCCCATCCCAGGCCCCAAGAAGACTTTCCACATCAAGCAGATGTTCACCTGCACATCTGCCAATGTGGTATACTGCATCCGCTGTTCCCGTTGTGGCCTCCTCTACATCGGGGAAACCAAGCAGATGCTTGGGGACTGCTTTGCGGAACACCTACGCTTGGTGTGCACTAAACAACTGCACCTCTCACTCCCCCTCCCATTCCTCAGACGACATGTCCATCCTGGGCCTCCTGCAGTGCCACAACGATGCCACCCAAAGGTTGCAGGAACAGCAACTCATATTCCACTTGGGAACCCTGCAGCCCAATGGTATCAATGTGGACTGCACAAGCTTCAAAATCTCCCCTCCCCCTACCGCATCCCAAAACCAGCCCAGCTTGTCCCCGCCTCCCTAACCTGTCCCTCCTCCCACCTCAAGCCCCACCCCCATCTCCTATCTACTAACCTCAGCCCGCCCCCTTGACCTGCCTGTCCTCCCTGGACTGACCTATCTCCCTCCCTAACTCCCCACCTACACTCCCCTTCGCCGGCTCCATCCCCACCTCTGACCTATCTGTCTCCTCTCCACCTATCTTCTTCTATCCGCCTTCTCCCCTCGCCCTATTTATTTCAGAACCCCCTTCCCCTCCCCCATTTCTGAAGAAGGGTCTAGGCCCGAAACCTCAGCTTTCCTGCTCCTCTGATGCTGTGTTCATCCAGCTCTTCACCTTGTTATCTTCGCATTTGCAGTATGTTGCTTTTGCCATCCTTTTATGGCCATTGATTTATCTCTTGGGTTGGCTCACATCAAGACAAGCCTGACAAGCCCACCAATCCCTCACCACTTCAATCCCCATCCTTGCAGGGTGGCAGCCCCAAAATCTGGGCTGCAGGAGTTATCCAGGAATCAGGTAGGAGTTGGGGAAACCCAAGGGTAAACATTACATCCGCATTGGCTACTTGCGTACGTACAGTGGGGCAGGGGTCTAAACATAACAATCACAATTCCATAACAGACCCCCAAGGGGAAGGGATTAGCTCTAGCCATAACCTGAGAATATTTCCATTGCCCTCAACTGGTTATGTTTCTTTTCCCGCAGGAGCTCGCTGTAAACACGATGAAGACTGCAGTGTTTCCATGTGCTGTGCAAGACATCATGGAGAGATGATCTGCAAGAAGAAGTTGACTTCAGGCATGGACTGCTATGTTCCTGATGGAGGGCTGGCTTACAGCATTAACCAGCTGTGTCCCTGTGAGGAAGGGCTAATCTGCAGAAACAACAGGATCATGCGAGAGTAAGTAGAACACGCTTCCTACACCCATACAAAGTTGATGTCCCACTCCAGCACTTAAGGAATATCTCAAAGGCAGGTATATGCAGTTAAACCCCATCTGCCACTATTTCATGAAATAGCACAACAGGCTGAATGGCCTACTCCTGTTCCTTTATTTCTAGATATTCTAAGTTCACCTGCAGAATAGAGGGATGCTTCTAGGGGCATTACACTTGCATTTCCTTGCTGATGTTTGAAAGCTTGTAACAATAGCATGAGTGATAGTCTGCCCTATTTTATTCAAATTGACTTTATGATCATTATTCAAGGGCATTATGATCTACTGTTTACCATCACAATGACTGACGGTGGGGAAAGATGGTGGAGGAGTAATATTGGCACTGAACTACACTAATGTTCTTTTCAGCCATCAGTTCAAACCCAAGCATGGCAGATGGTGACTTTTAAATTCAATAAAAATCTGGGACCAAAAAAATTGTCTCATGACAACTATGTAAACATTGTAAAATCCCATCTAGTTCCCAGCTGTCTCAAAAAACTAAACAGGAAATCAGGTGGCACTTTCACTAAAGCGAGTAATGAGCCAAATACATGGGGATCTATGTTGCAAAAGCACTAGTATTATAACTGCTTAAGGGACATGTGAATGGTATACCTGACCATTTCTCCCTGAATACAAGATTAATTTTTTTTGTTCTGTTCCAAAGCCAGCACTTCTGCTTCAAATAAAAATATCAAACTGATTATCTTGATTGAAGCAGCAAACAATTTCTCATGAATCTGTTTATTTTCTCACAGGAAAGAGTTTGATTATTGGGAAAATGTGGATACCTGGCAGTGCCTGAACCCTTCTTTGTCCTAACAAAAAGAATACATTCTGTACACAGCTGTATTTACTGTAAATATATTCCATGTTATTTAATCACAAATTTGTTAAGTGATTCATAATGTAAATACTGATAGCAGTCAATTTATAACCATTACTAATGAATACAAGGAAATGCTGTTTAGGTATTAGGGCATAACTTGTTCATTCTAATTACTCACTGCCACATCACAACACTGAAGAGAAAATACCATCTACAATGCGCAAGTGGAGTTAGTAGTAGTTATTGAAATGGCTACTTCAATATTCTAAGTTGTTTTGTCACTTTATGCATGTTGTTTAAGACATGTGTCCTGTGTGGAAGAAAAAAAGTTGTGTAGTACCCAAAGATTTGAGCTTTTGTTTTGATGGTTAGGTCCATAGACTAGTCAACCAACTGATTGCAATGACTAGTCCACAACTCCATCAGCAATGCATCATGCAAAAACAGGGATGGTTAAAGTCAAACTAAAAATGATAGATTATGAAATTCCTATGGAAGGGTAAGACTCCTGAGCCAGGAATCCTGGGCACAAGTGTCACCTGCTCCAGACATGGGTGAGAACATTTGAATATGTTGATTGAGAAAAGTCTGCAAATGTTGTGGAACAAGTGCAGAAGGCCGATAAGCACCACCATGTGTCTTCCAGTAGCGATCATGGCTAATGCCAGATGTCCCCATCCATCACCAACCTCAGATGCAGTGGGAGGAAACCAGCATACCAAGCAATCTTCCACATTTGTACAGCTCAATTGTTGTTCACTGGAGCAACAAAATTGGAAGTGAGCTTCAATGAACACCCTGGATATTGACTCTTGCTGCTCCCAGTAGCTCATGAATACATGTTAGAGTCCTGTTCTTCAGTGCTGGAAGGCAGGAATGTTATCCCCTCACTTTGCCCTTTAAGGGAAATAAAGTTTAGCTTTGTTGTTACTCATTTAAAAAATACACAAGAATAAAAAGCACAACAAAAAATTTATTTAAAACACATGCTTCATTACGTCTTGGAATGAAAGATGTTTTGCATGTATTTTCAATACACAGAACATTAAGCAGACTGTAACAATGTTATCAGTAACGTGTTCCAAGTTCCTTTCAATACTGGCTCATTTCCTCACAATTGAGGAAAGTGACCTGTTAAATATTAATACTCAAGTCAATTTTAAAAAAAATTATGAAACTGACAGATGAAGGCTTACCACCAGAAGCAGTAAATAAAATTACATGATTGGATGTCTGAGTCAACAAATGTATTTATGGAAATGATTTGTTTCTGGAGCCAGGACTAAAAATCATGAATATGCAACAAGTACAGTCCTCAGATCAGGTTTGCTTTTTGTGGAGGTAGAGTGTTTCCATTAATTTTTGGGGGCATTTTGCCCTCAATGACTCCCAAAATTTTCAACTGTATCAAAAATTAACCCAAAATGGACAGCTTTGTTTGAACCACTGTCTTGTGGAGCAACCCTTAAGGGTTTGGTTCAGGGAGGGCGCATTAAAACAAGTAGGTCCCCAATAATTCTGCTCCATTTTGTTGGCATCCACTGATGAAAAATTAGATCAGATTTATTAACAGGTTGGCTTTTTAAATACACTATTACACTGCTCTTCAGCACTAGGTAAACCAGAAGAGGCAAGAGTTCTGACAAAGTCACTACAAAGCTGGCTTTGCATTAACGAAATATTCCTTTGCAAAGTCAGGCAAAAGAAAGTTGCCAAGATCAATTTCTTTGCACTTTCATCTATAAAAGCACTTAAATGAATGAAGTATGTTGGTCGATACAATGTGCATCCATAACCATCTCAGTAACTGGCTGAAGGTATTGCCTATCTCTGCTTATAGTGCTTAGAAGTTGTAAAGAGTTGAAGATCATTTCTATGCAAGGAATTGTGAAAAGTTCCTGTAGCCTTCAAAAAAAAAGATACTCTTCTCAAAACTGAAGATGATCTTGCTGAGATTAAGGTTTATTGGTTCAGTTAAATTGTTCATGAGCTAGCATCTTTGCTGCCTCCAGGATTCCCTTTTGCCTGGGACCCTTACCCTACCAATATCATAGAAGCACCGTCACCAGGAAGACTACACCGAAAGATACTTTTAGCACCACCTTCAAGGTAATAAATGCCAATCTTGTCAGTTACACCCATAGCCAGACATTAGATTAAAAAGTTCGCCGCCATTTGTCACAGTCAGCAATAAAAACTTAAAAGATTTGATCTTTCAATGAAATTTAATTGTAGCGGTCACGTGTCTACAGAGGCCAGTAAAATGTACAACGTATAGAGAAGGGGAACTAGTCAAATCCCACAAAAATGGAGTGCCAATAATAAAATTCTGACATTGCAATAATATAACATTGCAATTCTTAAAAAATAGTAATTAACTGAACTCCAAAGTCTACAAATTGCTATTTTTAAAAAACATTAAAAAAGTTCAGCAGCTGAATGCATGTTGATAAGTAGGTCAGAGGTAGGCTATAAGCAGTAGTCCTGACAAAAGTGGAAGATACTTTAATGCACAGACTCCAAGCATAAAACAGCTGGCTGCAAAGGCCAACTGAAGATCGTGCATATTGTAGTTGATGCATTTTGTCAGACTGAAAAAAGTGAGGAGACCACAAAGTAACATTCCCCCGAAATGGTCTGATCATATAACTACACTATCTGAATTGCAGCCCACCGAAACGGCTTTTGCTGCAAGTCCAGGTAACCATTGTTCTTTCTTGGCCCACATGTTGAAGGGGTAAACTGACTCCTGCAATAACACAATCCTACTAGCTGTGACCAAGTCTGTCAGCTGTAGCTATCCATGTAAATAACAAGCAGTTGCTGCATACAAGAGAAACAGCAGTCACAGCAAGGTAATGTTTGTCCTTCCTCTGCAAAGTACTATCAGGCTGCCTAGCTCTATCTATGGACACTATTAATCACATCTAACTCACTGGCCATTAAAGCAACATGCCCAACTAAAGCAATGTGACTACTGGCAGAGTCAGGGCACCCTTCCTTATCTCTCAACTACCTTCGTAGAAGGATGCTTTGACTCCCTGTACCATGGAGAACAATGGCAAGAGATGTGTCAGCATGTAATGCTCAGGTAAACACAAAAAGATACAATATCAGAAACTGTTTCGAAAGGATGCTTGACTGCCAGAGGGAAAAATGCCCATGGCTTCATAAAGTCCAGATAGGGAGAAATCCATTCCTGCACATTTGAGCAGAAGAAAGCCAAAAATTTAAAAATAAAATCTGGGAAATCCTTTGCTTCATCCTGACAAAGCGAGGGGGAGAGAAGCAGGCAAGAGGAAGGGGGAAAAAAAAAGCTTCATGAAATAGAAAGATCTCATTTTAACTGTTTTACTCCCGCAGCCCAACATCCTGTCACCAATAAAGCTACATAAGCAAAATTCTACAAACACTATATTTACCAAAGGAAAGGCTAACAAGCTTCATGAAACCCGGAATGTTGACAATTCAGAGGCAAGGAGCTAAAACTGGTAAATTGGTGTGAGGTGTGGTATGTTAAAAGAATACAACAATTGGGAGCTTGCAACAAGATCTAAGCTACTGATTATTTCGGGCAGGAATTAACACGATTTCCTGAAGGGAGAGCACTGCTCTGGTATTCAGGAATCTGAACCTCTATTTACAGCCTGCAGCAGTTTAATTTTTAAAAATATGAGACATCCCTCGTTTCCTTAATAATATCAGGATTACTCTCATTCTTGTCAGCATGGATCTTAACCAGTTGTTTCGTGACACCTGTGAAGCACAAATAGGAATTTTGGCGTTGCTTAAGCACTGTCTGACCTTGGGAGAGGCTTGTTCTGTCTGGGTTCTGACCACACTAGGTGGTGCCATTACCCACTGGATAGCTGCAGGACAATACCAAATCTTCAGTTTTGTCTGTCATTACTTTGGCAAACATTTGGCAAGACAACAAACAAAAATTTCAAGTAAAAACAAAGCTCCACCTATTCTGTCACAAATCAAGACTTGAGGTAGAAATCATAATTCAACAGGTAATTATTCTGGCACTAATCCAATGTGCTACATCAAGAGTGCAGGGTGGCTTTGTAGATCTATCTCAATTAGATTAGGTGTGGCAGTAGCATGTCACAACAAAACAGACATGAACCTTTCAACATTTGCAATTTAGATGGTACACAGTACACAGATTGAACTGTAACCGAGAAGGAAACAGGATCATTAAGTGCAGAACAATGAAGTGACATTCTACTCTGCCTGAAAGTCTAATGTGTAAAATTCTGCACATGTAAAGTCAAGGTGTTGGATGTGACCAGCTGTGTGGGACCAAAACAATTCATTTGGCAAACCTCATTAAACTTGTGGCGGCAGATTTGCCATCATTTGCAACTTGGAGCTTGTGCAAGCCACAAAACTCAACATCAATTTTTATAATCTGCATATTACTGATACAGCTAAAGCTATGTTGCAATACTTTGAATTAATTAAGCAGGCAGCATTACCAAGTGCAAATTGTTTCAACTCCAACAAATTTTAAACCAGAACGAGAATTAAATTGTCAGACTGACAGGCCAAATTGATCGTTTCAAGATAGCATTTTCCACCTTCTTCAGCTCCCAAATATATAGCTTGGGCATTGTCACTTTATGGTTTTTAAACAAGTCTATGAATAGGATGAACTCAAGGGAAGAATTTATAGACAGATGCACAGGAGCTATAGGTCCTTTATGCAACAGAAAAAGGAAATTTTTAAAATAGATGCTATTATAGCAAAGTGGAATGCTTGAATGAGGACCTCCAGCAGTAGCTAGAGAGAATGTAGACAAATTTTGGTACTGTCTGCTGGAACATGAAGCGAATACAGAGCAAGAATGCACATATTCACCACAGGAAAGAAATGGAAAGGTCAGTTAGCCGGGGCAATGAAAACTCCATTTCAACGTCCCGTTGCATATACAAGGCAGTCTCAGAGCTTTGTTTTCCATTCTTCCTCATAGGACAGACTATTTCTAAAGCTTGTCTAACTTATTAGCATTTGTTCAACTTTTCACTTTCCTTCAAGCCTTTGCCAATACAAGATGGTCAATTTGATTCAGCTGGGTGAAACTATATTGGTCAATTTTAAACCAAATCCTAGGGCTAATGAAACAGCTACCAAGATCAACTGAAGAGTTCAGGCTATGTATTAACATTAACTTAATTAATCTCAATGTGTCATGTAGTGACATTTCTCACTGTCCCCTCCAAAATGCACTGATTAAAAGAAACTGGAACTATTGACTTTCCCAAAATTATTGCTGGAAATACACAGCAAGCCTGTCATCAGAAAAGACAAAAGACAGGATTAGTACTTCTGCCAGAGACCCATTGTTAATGAGGTGTCAGGCTCTGATACTGAGGGAACTGCTCATTTGGAACCATGTTTCTTCATTTTTACCTTTCACATTGGTATAAGTAAGGAGTACTGAAGGAAAAGAGTCATTTTTCAGAACTGTTTGCTTCTGACAGTTTGAGCTGGTTTCCCACTTCACTAAACACACATCCATGA